TCCACACGAAAGTTCGTTCCGAGAGCACCAGGAACTCACGTATCGAGAGACAGCAGGCTGGAGGTCTTGGGGAGGGCAACGATGTTTTCGTTGTAATGTCGACTGGGTGGACGACGTGGGCCCAAGAGGTTGGAAAGGGCTTTGAGAACGCGCGTGTAGATGCAGCGGGAGTCGCTGGAGGCGCAAGAGCTGCCGCCGCCTCCGAACGAACGCAACCCGTCGAGATCATCAGCAGTCACCGCAGAGGTTGAGTTGCGACCACCCCGACCTCCATCTTCTTGAAAGAAAACACGAGCGCGCCCCTCTGGGGGCTGTTTCGGGATCTCGGAAGCATTTTTCTCAAACAATGCTTTGCACTCAGGCTTTTCAATTTGGGTGTCCCAGTCCTCTGCATGGGCCTCTGGATGTTCGCCAATGTCGCCACCCCTGGGCGCCTCACGGGCTCCACACGCGCCAGCATGGACTGCCGGATGCTCGCCAAGGTCGCCGCCTGTGCCCACCCGTGGGCACCCCAAGGGGGCCCCGTGAGCCGGCTGGGCACAGCTTGCGCCACGTCGCTTGCACCACGTGGCTGCCTCGTCCAATTCATCCGACCTCATCGTACTCCATTCCCCCCGCCGATGTCGAGATTATCCGTTCGCCTTCGTGCATGGTTGCATCTTTCTTCTGCACAGTCGATCATCATCATCATCATCATCATCATCATCATCATCATCATCATCATCATCACCACCGTTCTCATCATCACCATCACCACCATCATCATCAACATCAGCATCAGCATCATCATCACCATCGGCGTCCTCATTATCATCATCATGAACAACATCGTCGTCGTCGTTGTCGTCATCGTCGCCGCTGTCCTCGTTGTCGTCGTTGTCGTCATCGTCATCATCAACAACACCAGCATCACAATCATTTTACGTTTCTATATATACATGTGAAGATACACCAATCATTCAATCCCAGCCTGACCGTTATCGCCACTCGCCATCTCCTGCATAGTCTAAAACATGCGTTGATCTAACACATGTGGATTCAGCGCAAGCGTTTTGTAGCCACCCATGTCAATGAGTACCATGCCGGCCACATGCGCGCGCTCCTGCGCGCGCATGCTAGATCATAAACGAGATCCGGACCAGTTCATAATACGGCTCAGTACACGCTACCACAACACATCTGCTCTTTCAACGATGGCTGCAAGACTTCTGCGCGCGCGTCATCGTTGCCATCATAATTGGACGAGCGTTTTGGTTGCCACTCTGTGGCATTCGGGACACGCGCGCGCATGGCGAAAACATCTCACCATCATCGCGCACCCGCCGACCCTGTGAATTAATACAACGCGGGTCACACGCGCTCATCTCCGAACACCTTCCAGCACCATTTTGTTTCGGAGCTTTTCGTCACGCATGTGTTCAAACAAAATCCGAGGTGGTTTTCAATAGCACTTCGGTCAGAGTTCATGAATTTCTGCGCGCGCACTTCCTGATCATCCTCACCAGTACCGCTGTCATCATCATCGCCAGTGTCATCATTGCCACCGTTCCCATCATCACCATCATCACCATCACTATCACCATCGTCGTCATCGTTTCCGCCGTCGTGATCGACATCATCATGGCCATCGTCCTCGTCGTTGTCGTCGCTCTTGTCGTCAGCGCTACCATCATCGTCATCGCCATCGCCATCACAATCACCATCTCCATCACCATCATCTTCATCGTCATCATCATCAGCAGCATTATCATTATCATCATCTTTATCATCATCATCACCATCATCATCATGATGATCATCATCATCATCATAATAGTCATCATCATCATTCTCATCATAGCATCATCATCATCATCATCATCATCATCATCATCATCATCATCATCATCATCATCATCATTACCGTGATCACTTGCACTGGAAAGGCCCTCCCGCCATTACGTCAATTGAGTTTTGTCGCCAGGTCGCAGGTGCATTGGTGGGATGTTTTCTCGAGCATGGGAGGTGGCCACGCGCGGATGCTCACATCCAATCCTCCTTTCAAAGAAGAATCGGCTCTACCACCCTCCCGAGCCCGGGCTTATTGGACCACCTGGGACATTGCAATCTAGATGTGACCCTCCTTCGTCTTCCATCTTCCATGTGTAATCATACCATTCCAGCCACACCAGTATTGACACTCCTCGTCATCCCTGTCGAAAATACAATGCGCACGCACACGTTTACCTCAATCGATCAGTTTCCAAGAATCGTTTGCAAACATATCACACACGCGCTCGAAATGTCGGAATCATACCACACCCTATAATTTCGCAAACATTTCCCACATCCATTTTGGCTCAGCCGCACGTGACGATGTGCAGTTGCCCTGGGGAGAGCCTATTCCCAGGGTCTCCTGTACTAGTCCGTTCCATACGAAGCCTGTTATTGTAATCTTGCATTCAACCATGGCTCACTGGGCCCAGGCTCTGTTTGTGAGTCTAACCGTGTTCTCGCATACCGTGTGCCTCGAAGGCGCCGCCGCTGCTGCAGAGAGCCTCGACCGCGCTCGTCCGTCGCCCAGGCCCGGCAGGATGAGGGCACCCCAGCAGGCCAGGCAAGGCGGTCTTCGCGCAGACACCATGCTGATCCAGCTGTCGGCCGCCGGAAGCCCCGCTGGGTCCGAGCAGGAGGCCGACAACTCGTCGGACGAGACGCCCTACAGCGCGCCCGAGATGGTGCTCGTCCGCTCGACCGCCAGCGAGGCTGCCAACGGCAGTAACGGCACCGCTCGATCAGGCGATATTGTTCAGCAGGGGGACATGATCTCTGGCGAGGCGCCGCAAGAGAATCTCGGCTTCGACCTCGCCCTGAGCGCCAACGGGCAGAGGCTCCTCGTCGGAGCGTACCAGAACGACAAAGCAGCGATGAACTCTGGCGCCTGTCGGGTGTACCAGTGGAGCTCTGCGGAGAACAAGTGGACGTCCCTCGGGCAGGACGTCTATGGCGGGCCCGTGGCCTACGGCATGTTTGGCGCCTCGGTCTCGCTCGACGCGGCCGGCAGCCGATGGGCCGCTGGCGCGACGGCGCTGGACTCGAAGCAGCCGTCCGGGAGCGGAGGCGTGAAGGTGTTCGATCTCACCCTCGACATCCAGACGTACCAGTACAAGTGGGCGCAGATTGGCAGCAAGATCATCGGCGAGAGCGAGGACGAGGGCGCCCGCGACGTGGGCATCAGCGGCGACGGCAGCTACCTGGCTGTCGGCGCCAGCGGCCACCAGTACGGCGCCGTGCGCGTTTACAAGTATGATGGCGACGACTGGGTTCAGGTCGGGAGCACCATCTTGGGCCCCAACGAGGGCAGCGAGTTCGGCGGCCATGTCAGGATGAGCTACACTGGCCGCCGCTTCGCCGCAAGCGCTGGCATGGCTATCGTGCCCGGTTCCTCCAAGTCGGTCGGCTGTATCAGGGTGTTCGAGCTCGTCGATAGTGACTCCGATAGTGCAGAGTGGTACCAGATGGGCACGGACGACATGATCTCTGGAGCGTCGTTCGACATGTGGACCCAGTTCGGGTATACGGTGGCCATGAACAGCGCGGGAAATGTTGTATCGACTCTTTCCGGCATGTTCGGGGTTGCCCGGGTGTGGTTGTTCAAGCACGCCACAGGGCCCCAGCGGCGGCGGGAGGAGGGCATCTGGGAACAGATGGGGGACGACGTCCCCGCAAGGGGAAGCCTGGCGCTGAGCGCTGACGGGACGCGATTGGTGTCGCAGGCGGGCTACATGGCCACGGTCTACGACTACGACGGGACTCAGTGGAACCAGGTTGGGTCGGCGTCCGTGTGGGGGACGGCGGTGGCCATGTCTGCGGACGGGCAGCACATGGCCGTGGGAAACTCGGGCGCGCCTTTTGCTGGGCCTGGGAGCGCCACGGTCTTTGACATGAGCGCCATTCAGCCCACCATCGCGCCGGAAGACGTGCCCTCCGAGGAGACAGCCTCCCCGACAGCGGCTCCCACAGAAGGTCCGACAGAAGCTCCGACAGAGGCTCCGACAGCGGCTCCGACAGCGGCTCCAACAGAAGCTCCGACGAAAGCTCCGACGGAAGCTCCGACGGGAGCTCCGACTGCGGCTCCAATGGAGGCTCCCACGGCCGCCCCGACAGAAGCTCCCACGGCAGCTCCTACGGAGGCTCCGACCGCGGCTCCAACAGAAGCTCCGACGAAAGCTCCGACGAAAGCTCCGACGAAAGCTCCGACGAAAGCTCCAACAGAGGCTCCCACGGCAGCTCCAACAGAAGCTCCGACGAAAGCTCCGACGAAAGCTCCGACAGCTGCTCCAACGGAAGCTCCGACGAAAGCTCCGACGAAAGCTCCGACTGCGGCTCCAACAGAGGCTCCCACGGCAGCTCCAACAGAAGCTCCCACAGAGGCTCCGACAGCGGCTCCGACAGCGGCTCCCACAGAAGCTCCCACAGAAGCTCCCACGGCGGTTCCCACGGAAGCTCCCACGTCGATCCCCACCGAACCGCCGTTGCCAGTGATCACTCCGTTGCCCACGCCAGCTCCCACGCCGCCTCCTACGAGGGCTCCCACAGCTGCCCCGACCCAGCACCCCACGCGGGCCCCGACGCGGCACCCCACCCGGCACCCCACGCCGGCCCCGACGCGGCACCCCACGCGGGCCCCGACGCGGCACCCCACCAGGCACCCCACGCCGGCCCCGACGCGGCACCCCACGCGGGCGCCCAAGCCCGCGCCCACGGCAGCGCCCACGCCCGCGCCCACTCCCGCGCCCACGCCGGAGCCCACGCCAGAGCCGACGGAGGCTCCCACGCCAGCGCCCACGCCAGAGCCCACGCTGCAGCCCACCGAGGCTCCCACGCCATCGCCCACTTCGGAGCCCACGGAGGAGCCCACGGAGGAGCCCCTGCCGGTCCTCACGCCGGTCCCCACACCGCCGCCGACACGGGCTCCCGATCGGACACATGGGCCCACCCCTGCTCCGTTCACGGGCCAAATGTTTGACTGCAAGGGGGATCGGGACCTGTGGAACGCCGGCTACGGCCAGTGCGCTGGTTATGCGCCAGGCACTTCGAACTACGCGTTCTGCGGGCGGGACAAAGACATTGCCATGAACCTCACGGGGAGCCAGGTGTGCAGCGAGTGCGGAGCGTGCGTGGACCCGACATCCGCGCCAGCTGCAGGAATAGACATGCCACCAGAAGGAGGATTGCCCGCAGCTCAGGCACCAGACATGCCAGACGCACCTGCAGGCATGCCTGCAGCAGCAACGCCACCCGCAGGAGTGCCAACGCAATGCGTGCTATTGCTGTCAGCAGGAGCAGGAAGTTCGGCAGTGGTAGTGTCGACCGCGGACGGGCTTGAGATAGGGGAATCCATCGTGATCACTGGCGGCGGGCACTCAGAACTACATACGATCGTGAGCTTTGGAGCTATGAACCGCTTGCAAAGCGGGTCTGGCATCGTCGTGGTGGACCCGCCATTGACGGATCCGATGCCCGCGGGCTCCCTCGTTGCGCCAGCAACACCTTCACCTACACCTGCACCGACGCCTTCGGCACAGGGAGCATCGGGCGTCGCGTCGGTTCCCACATCTGCACCCACGCCGGTCATGGTCTCCGCGTCCGGCGATCCACATATGGTCAATGTGCATGGGCAGCGGTTCGACATCCTCAGGCCCGGCATCCACGTGCTGCTCCAGCTCCCCCGGGGGATCGAGCAGGATGCCTTGCTGCGCGTGGAGGCCTACGCCGTGCAGCTCGGGGGCGCGTGCGCGGACATCTACTTCCAGTCCCTCAACCTGACCGGCGGGTGGGTGCGAGATGCGCACGGCCAGCACACCAGGCACAGCGCCATCAGGTACTACGCGAACCAGCCCGTCGGGAGCCATCTGCACGGGACCAACTGGATGAGTTTCGGCAAGGTCGACCTGAAGGTGGTCTGGGGCCACACGAAGAGCGGGGTGCAGTACCTGAACATGTTTGCGAGGCACCTCTCCAAGGCCGGGGTGCCGATCGGCGGCCTCCTCGGCCTAGACGACCACACAGCAGCGTCCACCCCGAGCCTAAGGTGCAAGCGAACCATGACATTGTGACATTGCTGAGCCTGCTGGAGGTCCAGCCCTGAGGCCCGAGGGGGCCACACTGATTGAGTAGGTGGTCTTCCATCGCGGCTGGACTCCCGCATTGGCGTCCAATCCATGGCCGTCAAGGTGGCCAGCTGACCACGGACCCTCAGCGCGTTGGCTGGCACCGTCACCGTATGGCATGAATGGTACTTGTCGCATTTGCTGGCTCGCTGCCCAGATTTGGCGGCTGCGTCACATCGTACAACTTCTGACACATCTAGCAGAATTCTTGACGATTCGCGAATCCCCACGAGCCCATCCGCAAACGATGCCCAGGCGAGTTGCCTTCATCAGGGAAGCGGAGGCGCATGCAGTGGATGAAGAGCTGGGGAAGCCGTCAAGCTGAAGTCTTGGATCAGCCTGCGCAGACCCAGGAGCGAACCGTATGCGCCTTCGCGGACTTGCCGAATGAGGAAAGGCGGGGAAGAAGGACGAGGGGGATGAGGGAGATGAGGAGGAGGAGGAGGACGAGGAGGAGGACGAGGAGGAGGAGGTGGAGGAGGAGGAGGAGGTGGGGGAGGTGGAGGAGGGAGAAGGGAGGAGGGGGGGAGAAATAGGCGGACCAGGAGGAGGATGACAATGGCAAGCTTTGGGGCTTCTTGGGGTGTCTTGGGGACCTCGTGGGGGTCCCAGGGGCCTCATGCGTACCTCGGGGAGCCTTTTGGGGCCTCTTGGGGGTCTCTTGGGAGCCTCTTGGAGGCCTCTTTGGCGCCTTTTTGGGCCCTCTTGGGGCGCTCTTGGGAGGCTTGGGGACGCTCTTGGAGCCATCTTGGAGGACATCGAATACAGAAGGGAGGAGCTTCAATTAGCCTTGCCCCATTCGAATGCCTAGAATTGTCTCTTATCCCTCTTGGAGCGCTCTTGGGGCGCTCTTGGGCGCTCCAAGGGCCGTCTTGGGGCTTTCTCAGGCCTCTCGGGGCTCTCTGGAGCTTTCTTGGAGCTGTCCTGAGGCCTCGGGAGGCCATCGAAAGCAAACCGGCGAGATGGCAACCGTCATCGAGGCTCCTACGGTTCTTGAAGGGCCTCTGCCCCTGGGCGGCACCCGTGAAGCACTCCGTGGCCACCTGGCACCGTCTCAGGAGCCACCTTGAGGCATCTCTGGAGGTCATCTTGGGCTCTCTGAGGCCCTCTTGAGTAATTGTGGAGGAGGAGGAGGAGGAGGAGGAGGAGGAGGGGGAGGAGGAGGAGGAGGAGGAGGAGGAGGAGGAGGAGGAGGAGGAGGCCTTTGGGGGTCTTGGGCCATCGTAGGGGCTCTGATCGCTCGCGGGGCGCCCCCTCCAGGCCGAGGGGGGGGGGTCGGGGGAGGGGTAAAGGCCTCCCCGACAGGGAAGAACGGGGGATTGGAAGAGGAGCCTCTCTAGTTCAGAGCGTGAATTACCTACCCCGCTTTCGCTTCCAGGCAAAACCAAGCCACACCACGCGCCTTCTCGTCAAGCGGCCTGGCCAGTACAGGCCGTAGTTTGGCATCGTTTGGTATCTCTTGGAAGCGAGGGTGGTCAAAAGCGAGGTAGGTTTGTTTTCCCCCTAGTAGCCGCCTCCCCGAAAGGGAAGAACGGGGGTTGGAAGAGGAGCCTCTCTAGTCCACCTGCGCCCAGAGTGCTGGTGGGATTTCTGCCCGCACGCACCTTCTGGAATCACGGGGAAGCCATGTGACCTCAGCAATCTTGTCCAGAACCCGCATTCTCATCTCACCACGCGGTGCATCCACGTTGATCTAGCATGCGCCCAGTGCGCGAATCCGTATCTCATCATGCCATGGGAGCCACACGTGCGCGCCTTCACGCGTGCGTGTCGACATTATTCCAAGACAAGTTGTTCGACGCATTTCAGGATACAGCTCGTCAACCACGTTTGGAAAACCACATGCCTTTTCTAAGCCAACAAGTCTGTCAACGTCGACGCCATCGCATCACCGCCGTTGCCGTCATCGTCAACCGCCGCCATTGCCGCCGTCATCAGTACTTTCACCTTCATCACCAACACATGGGCATCATCATTGTCGTTGTCACGAGCATCGGCACCGTCATCGGCTTTGCATGGCCATCCTCATCATCGCAACCACTATCGCCATCATCATCATTATCAGCATCATCACCAGCACCATCACCATCACCATCATCATACTAATCATTATCATTATCATCATCAGCATCAGCATCATCAACATCATCATCATCATCATCATCATCATCATCATCATCATCATCATCATCATCATCATCATCATCATCATCATCATCATCATCATCATCATCGTCATCATCGTCGTCGTCGTCTTCGTCGTCGTCGTTGTGGTCATCATCATCAACAACATAACCATCCACATCATCACCATCAGCATCAGCATCAGCATCATCATTATCATCACCATCACCTCGTTTCGCCGATGTCGACGTCATCATGGTATCGCGCCCGCCAGCGTTACCGACCCGTCATGAAGTGTTCGCGTTCCAGCGCGGCCTTTGAGACGCGCTCGGAAGTTCCAACATGCAAGCGCCATCGAGGCCGCATCAGTTTGCCAGATCAGCTTGTCACTTTTTGCGCGAGCGTGTTCGCGCCAGCTCGGCCCCAGAAATGCGCGAGTATGTGCAAATCAGTAGCCGCAATCGTGACCGATTTGTTTTGCCAGCCAGGTTGTGGGTGGGAGTGTGGGACGTTTGCGCGAGCAATGGGGTTGACGTTTTCAGGTGCTGCATGCTTGTTCGCACCGCGTCGCTTGCACCACGTGGCTTATACGCACCGCATAGCTCGCGCTACATGGCTTGCTCTGCATACCTTGAAGCACTTAGATGGCACACCACAGCTTGCACCACATGTATGCCCCAGCTTCCACCACACAGACTGCATCACCTTGCCTCCCCACCACGCCGCCCGCACCTCGCTGCTCTGACCACCTGGCGCGCACATCCGCAGTGCACACGCTCATTTTGCTTAGGCGCCACTTTTCACCACCCACCAAACCACCCCAACCCAACCCGAAGGCTCAGATTTACCCTCGATTTCCAGTTTGGGGGGGTCGGGAAACATCGAAAAAACACGCGTGGAACCCTTACCCCCCCAACCCGAAATTCGGGTCTTCGGGTTGGGTTGGGGTGGTCTGGTAGGTAGTCAACTTTGGCGAGCACGGACGAACCCAGGCGGCCCCCGACGGACACGTGGCTCCCGGGGGCAGGGGGGCCGACAGCTCCGGGGCCCCGCGCGCCGCCTGCTCTGCCGCGCCGGGAAGAGCACACCTCTGCCCCGCGGCCGGCACGGCGCCTCGCGCAGGCGCGCCGTGCTGTTGGGCCCCGCCCTCTTCCCTGCGCCCGCTTCCCCGCTCCTGCGCGGGTCTTCGCTGCGAGACGAGAAAGAATATGCGCCTCAGTCCTCCCACGCCTGCACTTACCCCCTTCGCCTCCCGTCCACCTGCCATCGCCTCTCCCTCCCGTGCATCTCCTGCCCCTCCTCCCTCCCCCCCCCGCCTCCTCCTGCTCCCTCCTCCCTCTTTCCTTCTCCCCGCTTCCTCTTCATGCCTCCTTGCTCACCCCTCCTCCCGCCAGCCTGCCCTCCCGCCTCCGTCCCGTGCGTCTCCTCCCTCCTGCCTTCCCTGCCTCCCGTTCCTTCCTCTGTCCCTCCCTGCTCTCGGAGACCCGAGCCTGCGCCGACCTGCGTCTTCCTGTCGGTTACCCCCCCGTCCGCCGCCGCACCTCGCTGCGGCCGGCGTGCCCCGGCCACTCGCTCAGCCTCCGGATGTACTCCAGGAAGAGGCAGGAGGAGGGGGAGGGCGAACCAGGAGGAGGGGGGGGGGGCGGGACGAGTCAGGCTTCTCCCTCCCTGCGCTCTCCTCTCTCTCCCTGCCTCTCTTCGAGATCACCCCTATCATGCTAATGCTATGTGTGGGCCGCCCGCCCCCCCCCCCAATGGAGACGCGCGAACCAAGACATCTTACAGTATAAGCTCCGTGGCGGGCGCTTTCTGGCCATACCGTTCGGGAAGCGATCTGCTACAATGTGTTCGTGCGAGATATCCAGGTCGGACGCGCGCCCCCAAACAGAGCATATATGGTCGCGGGCTCAAGGCCCACGGCCCCCCCCCCCCCCCAAGATGGGATGGGTCCCAGGGTCCTCGGGCCCCCCCCTAGATGGGGGGGGAGGAGGAGGAGGAGGGAGGAGGGAGGAGGAGGAGGAGGAGGAGGAGAGGAGGAGGGAGGAGGAGGAGGAGGAGGAGGAGGAGGAGGAGGAGGAGGAGGAGGAGGAGGAGGAGGAGGAGGAGGAGGAGGACGGCGACCACGACGACGACGACGAGGACACCTTCCGCTCCGGCTCCCTGAAGTACCGGAATACAATGCCACACCCAGAAGGAGGCGACGACGGTGAAGACACTGTCGACGACGATGTTCCTTTTCCACTTCCCCACATCCGCCTCTCCATCCCTCCCTCCTCGTTTTTGGCCCTCTCTTCCCTACCTTGCTCCCCCCTCCCGCTTCCTCTCCCCACCACGCCACGCCCACGCCCACAGGGGGGGGTGGGGGGGGGGCATCGCGCGGGGGGGGGAGGGGGGGGCCGATGGCATTAGCGTTGGGGGGGGGCCCACACCCTCGACCATATCTAGTACTAGTATGTCTTCGTGCGCCCCATTCTGCCTCACTTCTTTTCTTTCTTCCCCCCTGCCTTCTTTCTCGCCTTGCGCCTGCCTCCCTCCTGCCTCCTCTGGGCTGCGTCTCCGTGCTTCCCTGCCTCCTTCATCCCTCCCCTTGCCTCCCTGCTCTCTCTCTTCTCTACCTCCCGCCCCTGCCTCCCTCCTGCCTCCCTCCTGCCTCCATCGTCCTTGCCTTCATCCTTCCCTCCATTCTCCTTCTCCTTCTCCCCCTCCTCCTCCTTCTCCTCCTTACCCTCCTCCTTCCCCTGCCCTCTCCCCCTTTCTTCTCCCTTGTCTTGGTTCCTCCTCCTCTTTCTCCTCTCCCCCCTCTCCTCCTCCCTCCTCCTCCT